TATTTTGGAATAGAGACAGCATGTCAGGGTGGCTTGGAAGTAAAGGAGGCCCCTTCCAGCCCAAACCATTCTATGATTTCCTGTGACAACCTGAGCGTGTCCCTTGCTGGAGCTGCCCCATCTGTGACAGATGATGTAGGACCAGATTTGCTGGGTTTTCCTTCTGCCAGCACAGCCTGGCTGTGATGCCACAGCTCCCAGTGGCTCCCAATGCCCCATCCCAGCACCTGAGCCTTCCTTCAAACCCCAGAATGATGGCCTGAGCTCTTCTCCCCATCTTTCCTTTTATCTTTCACTGAAGCAAATATTCCCTGAATGGATGGGCACGCTAAGCCCATTCACTTAACGGCTGGGCCCAGCTGAAGGTCACCCTGAAAACACTCATAATTCCTATTCAGCACTATAAATATGCATTTGATTCATTGTCTCCTGTCCCTTTCATCACGGGGGATGGAGGAGGCGGACCAGCAGCCCCCCTCTGCCTCTCCCGGCAGTGATGAGTCACTGTCCTGGCTCTGAGGCTTCATCAGAGCGATATTATTTGACAATAATTGTAATTTATGCTCTGAAAGTGCTGGGGGAGCTGCGTTCAGGGCTTTCAATGGCCCCTGGGATGTGATGGGTGAGGGTTGGGTGGGATGGGGGTGTTTGGAGGACACTTGGGAGCCCCTGGCAAAGGATTTCCAGGATGGTTTTAAAGCCCTCAGAGCACCAGTGGCTCTGTGCTGGGGGTGACACCACGATGGGATGACACCTCGGGGGACATTGGGGAGCCTCTGGCCAAGGATGTCCAGGATTATTATAAGACCATAAGAGTACCAGTGGCTCTGTGCTGGAGGTGACACCAGGATGGGGGTGTTCAGGGGACACTTGGGAGTCCCTGGCAAAGGATGTCCAGGATGATTTTAAGACCATAAGAGTACCACTGGCTCTGTGCGGGGGGTGACACTGATATGAGATGACACCTCAGGGGACACTTGGCTCTCTGGGAGCCCCTGGCCAAGGATGCCCAGGATGATTGCAAAGCCCTCAGAGCACCAGTGGCTCTGGTGTCACATAGGTGGGTGACACCAGCAGTGGGGAGGAGATGCCACAGCCCAGGAGGGACCAAAGCATCCCTGGTGCCCTTGTCACTGCTCATCCGGGGGCTGCCGCAGTTTCAGCGATTAGAAAACGCGAAAGAAACAAAACCAAGCCCCAGCAGCGCCTTTCTGCAGGGGTTTAAGAGGATTTGGGGCACCGAAAGGGCTCAGGAGCGGGGGGCGGGGAGGCCCAAACCGGCTTCGGCCGGGGGCCCCCCTCACAAACCACGGGGCGTGGCCCGGCGCTATGGAGGCGTGGCCAAGCAGCACAGGGGCGTGGCTAATCTAATATAGTGTCTTGATAGGCGTGGCCTAACAGCGAGGTGGAGTTGTGGGCGTGGCTTACAGCGCGCTGTATGGACTATCTCTATGAGGGGGCGTGGTGGAGGGCGTGGCCGGCGCGGTGTGGGCGTGGCCCGCGTGACGCAGTGACGCTGCCGCGGCCCGGCCGGACGGAGTGGCCGCCATGGCGAGCCAGTCGCAGGGTATCCAGCAGCTGCTGCAGGCCGAGAAACGCGCCGCGGAGAAGGTGGCCGAGGCCCGCAAGAGTGAGTACGGCATGGCATTGCCCGGCCCAGCCGCGGGGGGTGTGGTGGCGGGAGAGCCCGGCTCGGCCCGGCCCGGTCTGGCCTGGTCTGGTCTGGCCTGGCCTGGTGCGGCCGCCTCAGGCCTTGCGACCCGGCGCTGAGGGCGGGGGGTAGCGGGGATCCCCCAGCCCGGGTGTGCTCGGAGATCCACCAGCCCTGCCCCGGAATGCTCGGAGATCCGTGGGGCCCCCAGGAGAGCAGCGCTGGAAGCTCCCCAAGAAGGCTCAGTGCGGTGTGAGGGGTCGGAGCCGCACCGGGACCCTCCTGGCAGAGCCCAGCTCGGGGGCTCCTGGCTCTCTGCAGGACATGGTCACCATAACCTGGCCTTGGCTTGGGGCATGGCTGTGCCTCTCTCTGTCCTTCCTGCCTTCAGCTGGTGAAAACAATGTGTTTCCAAATCAGTAATTAATAGAACTGTTCATTCCTAATAGATCCAAGTTAGGTTCTCCTGTTATGCAAGAGAAATTCGGGTTGCAAAGACCCCCAAGTTAGCAAATCTTTTCTGCTTTAAACAAATACGTATGTATATCTCTATATACCTGCCCTGGTTTGCAGTTCAACCCCCTGACAGTGTGGCAAGAGGCAGATTTTTGTAGTTCACTCCAGTGGTGATAGTCTTGGAGGGGAGAATGTGGTGGGAAGTCCATGAGGGGAAGTTGAGGCAGTGGCCTGGACTGCTCTTGGTTTCACAGCTGGTCTGGCAAAACTAAGGTTTAATGCTCTTTCTGTTGAGCTTTTTTGGGGATCTCACAGAAGCTGCACACTCACGTGGGTTGGAGTAATCCTAAACACAGGTACACACTTGAGAACTTACTGGGCGAAGCCCTGCAAAGAGGAACTTGGAGGTTCTGGTGGGTGAAGGGCTGGACATGATCCTGCAGTGCATTCACAGCCTTTAGGGCCAAACACATCCTGGGCTGAGCCCAGCGTGGGCAGCAGGGCAGGGGGGATTGTGCCCCTGTGCCCAGGTGAGACCCCACCTGCAGAGCTGCCCCAGCCCTGGCCCAGCACAGGGAGGAGCTGGAGCTGCTGCAGAGATCCAGAGGAGGCCATGGAGCTGCTCCAAGGGCTGGAGCCACGCTGGGAGAGCTGGGGGTGCTCACCTGGAGAAAAGAGAAGGCTCCAGGGAGGGCTCAGGGCCCCTTCCAGGGCCTTAAATATGCTTTTGAAAAGGAGAGAGAGGGACTTTTTATATGGAAAGTGACAGAGGGCAGAGCTAGGTGGGATATTGGGAGGGAATTCTCCTCTGTGAGGGTGGGCAGGCCCTGGGTCCCTGGCAGTGCCCAAGGCCAGGCTGGACAGGGCTTGGAGCAGCCTGGGACAGTGGGAGGTGTCCCTGCCATGGCAGGGGTGGGATGGGATGGGATTTAAGGTTCCTTCAGCCCAAAGCAGGCTGTGAATAAGCCAGACCTGATGTTGCCTGGTGCATCCCCCTGCTCTCACTGCTCTGTGGTGGGAGCTCCTGGCTCAGTGACCTCGGCCATGGTTTGCTGGGCTCCTCCTGAGATCAGCACACTCCTGCAGAGGGAGCAAACACTGTGGTGATGGCTGTGCATGAGGAAAACACACTCTCAGTGCTTTCTCCTCTTTCTTTGCCTTGGTTTGTGCTGTGGAGCAGGGAAGAACCGGAGGCTGAAGCAGGCCAAGGAGGAGGCCCAGGCAGAGATCGAGCAGTACCGCCTGCAGCGGGAGAAGGAGTTCAAGGCCAAGGAGGCAGCGGTTGGTGTTCTCCATCACTCTCTTATTTCCAGCCCATTTGCCTTGTCCTGGGGCTTCCTTGCCCTGGCAGCACCCTCAGGGTGGAGTGAGTTGCAGCAGGAGCACTTCCCCAAGTGCCTTCCTGTGAGGCACAGCCACGTGTCCCAGAAAAACCCGTGGAAGTGGCTCAGGACAGGGTGTGTTGCATCTCAACTGTCAGGGAAAGAGTTTAATGAGCTCCTGAGTGACAGCCTCCCAGAAGCTGCTGTGTGTAGCAGTGTCCAGAAGAGACTGAGCTCATTGCTCCTGTCACAGGCTCGTTTCCTATGGTGCTGACACAGCAGAGACCACTTGCTCAGTCCCTGGTTGCCAGAAGGGAAGGGTGAGATTTTTATAAAAGATTCTCCAAGGGTAGGAGCAATGGGATGGTGCTTTAAGTGACTCCTGGGTGTTACTTTTCTTGCACTCTCTAGTGCAGTTGTGCCCAGGAGTTCCAGCTGTCTGTAGAGCAGAACCTGTATTTTGGGCACTCCTTAGGAACTCATGCTCTGAACTGGTGGATAATGGATAAATTGCAGGCAGTTGGAACAAGATGATCTTTAAGGTCCCTTCCAACCCAAATCATTTGATGATTCAGTAAAAGGCAGAGGCTGAGGATGAAATATGTGGACAAGTTTAAGGTGAAATCTGAGCAAAAAATGTAGCAGTACTTTTTTTAATATTTATATTAATATTCTCTCAACAAAGATTAATGTCTGAGGTGGTCCAGAATAACAAAACACAGAGCTTGGCATGGTGATTGCTCTTTTCTTTGCTGTTTGTAGGCCCTTGGCTCCCATGGCAGCTGCACCACTGAAGTGGAGAAGGAGACTCAGGAAAAGATGAGTGTAATCCAGCAGAACTTCCAGAAGAACCGGGAGGTGGTGATGTCCCAGCTGCTGTCCCTGGTGTGTGACATCAAGCCCGAGATCCACGTGAATTACCGCATCAATGGCTAGTGCTGGGAGCTGGGAGCACAGTCCTGGCAGTGCTGGGAGGAAAGTCTGAGCTTCAGCTGGAATGTACAGCTCTTAGCCATACCTTACCTGTCCTCCTTGTCCATGTGTTAAATTATTTCAGTGAGCCCTTGGAGTTCTCTTAGTTTCTCTTTTGACACGGATTCAGAGCTTATTCGAACATGAAGTGGCCATGTCTCAGATGTGTGCTAAGTTATTAACTAGATATTTTCCAGCTGGCACAGGAATGCTCCCTTTCCATGGTGACAGTATGCAGTGAGAGGCTTCCCTCTGTGAAATAGAAAAGGGAGAGAGCTGCTGGCCTGTGTCAGTAATTGCTAAACCTGTGTACCTGTATTCCTGTTGACCAAATTGCATTTCTCAGTGTGTTGTTAAACCTCTGCACAGGGTTTAAACCCTGTAAGAAGAATTCTCTGGCTGTGCAAGTCCTGGCTGATCATTTTCAGGTGCTTGAGTTTCTCTGTATTGAATCCTCTGTATATTCTGCTGTTAGCTTGAGGTACAAGTCTGGCATTATGACACCTGAAAGTAAAAACACTTCACTCCAAAGCCTCTGCTCAGTCTGGTTCTTCCTGCTGACTTGGTCTGGGAATGCTGGCAGGTCTTGCTGGGCACCTTGGAAGTCTGGACTCTGCAGAGTGACCATCAAGTATTGATAAAAGAAAGTTTGAGAGAGACAGCCAATATGTGAAGGTCACAGCAGGTAAGTTAAAACTCATTACAGAGCTCCTCCTCTTGGCTCCAGTCTGATGCTTTACCTGCCAGATCATTCTGAAAACCTTCAGGAACAAATGTTCTTGTGACCATTAGGGGAAATAAAATGGTGCCAGTTCATTGGAATAGTTTGATAGCCAGGTGCTGCACAGTAATTACCCTTCCCTGGGTCCAGTGCTGGTCACTGCGTGTTTATACCAAGGTCATCCTGAATCCTGCAGCTTCCTGTGCCTGGGGACAGAGGGAAAGAAGAGTTCTAGGGCTGTCTGCCTTGCTTCCCAGCTCTTTATTCAAAGATACACACAAATAATCAAGAGGTTTCATGTCTCAGTGGTTTCTTCCTCTTACCAGCAGAATATTAAATGCAGCTTTGCTTTTTTTGTTGAGTTCAAATTCCAGGCTTTTTGTGGAAAAGTGACCTCAGCATGTCCCTGATCTGGCCCAGGAGTTGTGCAGGTTGGGATCTTTGCAAGGAGCCTCATGGATGCTGTTGTGTTCCTCAGACAGAACATCTTGATTTCCACAGCTCCTCAGTGAGGCATTGCAAAGCCTCTTGGACCTCTGGAATTGTGATAGGGAGGGAAAAAAGCAGGATGGATGTAGATGTGAGTCCTGCAGGCAGGAGCAGACAGCTCTGGGGTCCCCTCTTGTCATATTTTATGGTAGTGCACTGTACTCCTGGAAAGATCTCTTCAGGAATTGAAGCTATTAAACGGGTTGTAAAATTGAAACAAAAGCTTCTTGCAAAGTCAAATGTGCCAGGCTGGGGGAGAAGCCAGGTGGGTGCAAGCAGAACAGGATCAAAGCAGTTTTAATCCATGTGCTGTTATGTGGAGAGGTGTTATGGCCTCATAAAAAGGTTGCAGCCATGGTAATTTCACTGTGTCCTTTGGAGATGAGACATTTCTCCCTGTTGAGAGCAGGTGCTCAGGCTCCAGCAGGACACTCCTCAAAGCCCTCCTTGCTCCAGGCTGTAATTAGCAATTTCATTCCCTCTCTTATCAGTAACAGACTGAGACTCTGTCCAGAAAAAATGAAGTGTGTGCTCCACTTTCTCATATTGGTTCATAAGTTTCCCTTGGTTAATGAGGACTTTTATCCTTCTTTAGAACAGAAGTAGGAGAAAAAGGGGAAAAAATCCTCCATGATTATATCTCCTTGGCAAATGTGCTGTGAAGAAGCTCCCTTTAGAACATGCAGGAGTGTTAATGTCTTACAAGAATAATAATTTTCTGTAATACTTCCCTGAAATTTAACTGTTGAGAGTGACTCCAACTTTGTAGTGAAGGAAGCATTTCCAATTATTGCTCTCCAGGAAGGCTGCCTTGGTTTGTGCAGTGCAGAGATTTTATTTCCATTTGAAATTCCTTCATCTTGCCCTGTGATGCTCTGTGTGCCCTGTGTGCCTAAGCCAGGCTGTGCCAGGGAAATGCTCTGCAGGAACAGTCCTGACAGGGGTATGGAGTGGGACATGCTGCTTCTTGCCCCTGAAATCTGATTTTTGGGGCATTTTGCAGGAAGTTGGAGGAGTAGGAGTGAAGCCCACAGCAGCTGTTAGAACAGATCTGTATCTGAATTCTTCCTGCTGCTCCTCTCCCCAGAGAAGTGTGGCTGCTCCATCCCTGAAGTGTGCAGGGCCAGGCTGGACGGGGCTTGGAGCAGCCTGGGATAGTGGGAGGAGTCCCTGCAGGCAGAGAGAAGAGAGGGTGATCTCTGGAGGTTCCTTCCAACCCAAACCACTCTGGGGGTCTGTGACAATCCCTCAGGACTGAGCCACAGCCTGCTCATGTACCACAGAAAGAGCAGAAGCTGCTTTGGGCCCACACACCGCTGTGAGATTGCCTTGATTTGGGCTCCCATCCCTGGAAATACCACCTGGCTCCTGCTCCTGGGGGCACTGCAGTGTGAGAGAGCATCCAAAGGAGGGGAACAGGGATGGGGAAGGGTCTGCAGGGGCTGTGAGGAGCAGCTGAGGGCTCTGGGGTTGTTCAGCTGGAGCAGAGTGAGGGCAGAGCTCCCCGGGGCTGCAGCTCCTCCCGAGGGGCAGCTCCCATCTCTGCTCTGGGCCAGGGACAGGAGCCAGGGCACGGCTGGGGCTGGGCCAGGGCAGCTCAGGCTGAGCTCAGGGCAAGGTTCTTCCCCCAGAGGGTGCTGGCACTGCCCAGGCTCCCCAGGGAATGGGCACGGCCCCGAGGCTGCCAGAGCTCCAGGAGCCTTTGGGCAGCGCTGCCAGGGATGCCCAGGCTGGGCTTGCTGGGACAGGGGCTGGGCAGGGACAGGGGCTGGGTTTGATGATCTTTGGGGTCCCTTCCAGCACAGGATATTCTGTGATATTGGGATCCTATGAAATAAAGGAAGGAAATCACCTCTAATCCCAGATCTGCAGTCCAGAGAGCTCTCATCAGTGGGGCAGCAATTCTGGCTGGCAGTGCTTTAGCAGGGGCTCCCCTGGCAGCTGCATTTGGGCAGAAGCAGGGGAGGACCCTACATATTCCTGCTCTGAAGGTCCAGGAGCTCTTCCCCTCTCTGCCTGGAGCTGCCAGGCTGGATGTGCTGGATGGCAACATCAGGGTATTCCAGGGGGCAAGTCCACATTTGGCAACCTTAAATTTCTCATTTTTCTGCTTTTGTGAGGTCAGTGCACAGTTCCTGATGATCTTTATTCAATCTGGAGCTGTTTTAATGGCAGATCCAGCCCAGTGAGCTGCTGGCAGTCTCTCCATCCCTTTCCTGCCATCCCCAGTTTTATGCTCCTGCTGTTTTCTGCCACCCTGAAGCCCAGCTGACCCCAGAGCAGGCAGAATTTGGTAATTGCAGCAGTTCCTGGTCTGTGGGGCAGCTCGAGGGAGGTGTGAGCAGCAGGATGGGCTATCCCAGGGCTGTCCTGCTGCTGTGGGGCAGGACCACCCTGCAGGTTCTCCTGGAGGTGACAGGTGACTGTGTAAACATAATGCAGCTCCTCTCCCTTCTCTCTGCCCACATTAAACCTGCTCTGTTTTCCCTCTTTGCCTCTGTTTTCCTCCTCTGGAATCTCTTCTGCCTTTATCTCTCTTGGCTAGCTCTTGCATTAATGCATAATGGGAGAGACAAGGCAAGAACCTGCTGGTCCCAGCTGAGGTCTTGGCTTTAAAGTCTTAAAAAAAAATAACATTGAGAACCCTCCAGATCAATGTTCTGCTGAAAAAGTTTTCCCAAAGTAATCCAAGGAAGGAGAACAGTGTAATGTTTCTTTGAGGTTGAAAGGAGAAAGTGCTAATTTCATGCAGAAAAGATTGTATCTTGGACTAGCATAGGAATAGAAAATAAATTGGTATTAAATTACATTCGTCTGCCTCAAAATAATCTAATAAAGCATCTTCTGGATCAATAGCTGAATCATTATCCCAGGCACATAGCAAGCTTTGCCTCTTTTAATTTGAGATTCAAGAAAAGAGGTTTTTGCATTACCATAGTAAAAAGAATAATACTTTAAGTCTTCATAAGAAGAAGGCAGAAGTAGGAAAAAAAAAAAGATAAGAACCACACTCAGTGCCTTAAGCAAGTGTCATTCTTCATTTGAAACTTGTAATTTATGGGTAGTGTGAAATAAATTTTTATATTTAATGACTGTCAATCTGTCAGCTTTGCTGACAAAAAAATTCAACGAGGCAGAGTGAAAGGACTTTGTGTGCAGGAAGGGAGGAGAAGGGCAAGACAAGGCTTTCAACAACTTTGTTCTCCTAATTAAGGCTCACTAGGGAAAAAAAATAGGAAAAAGATGGCACAGTTCTGCCCTGAAAATGCAGTTTCATCAAAAGAAAATGAGATGTGCCAGTGTTGGCTGCAGTGTGCACAGTCCAAACAAGGCTGACGTGGAGAAAAACTGCAACCACATGCAGATTGTGGTCAAAAAAGCTGGAATCACAGGATGTGGATTCCAAACACTGCAAAGGAGCTCAGTTTATCAAAGTATGGAGTAAATACAGAGAGAACATGGTCAGAATAGGCAAAAGCAGACTAAATGTGTGTGTCTGGTTATTTAAAGCAGTGAGACACCAAATCGGTGCTGGAGAGTGACCTCAGAAATGACATGAAGGATGTGATGAAGGGTGAGGTTATTCCTGAGGCTGGGAGGGTGGGTGGGCACTGTCAGCCTGGGACAGTCCTCAAATTTCTATCTTAAAAAAGCAGATTTTTTCATTTCCCTGCAATCAGTCTCCCTGTAATATATTCATTAATGCAGCAGGTGGAACAGGGAGTACAATGTAAGTCCAGGGCACCAAGCTGGGAAGAGATACAAACTGTACAGAGCACTGAATCACAACTCCAAATGATCTTGATGGGTGGGAGAAATGATCTGAAACCAATAGCCTGAGCCTCCCTGCAGGGAGGAGTAACTGAGAAAGGTGAAATCAAATACATCAGCTGGGAGCAATCCATGAGCAGCTGCACCACAGCACTGCAGGAATTTGGGAAAATGGCCTGGGGGACCCCCAGAGGCAGCAGATGTGGTAAAGGGAGGGCAAGGCCAGGCTGGACAGGGCTGGGAGCAGCCTGGGCTGGTGGAAGGGTGGAATCAGATGGGATTTAAGGTCCTTCCAACCCAAACCATGCTGGCATTCCAGCCTCTGGTGATCCCAGCACTCCTCTGGAATGAGCAGGACTTTGCTGCTGGAGGTGCTGATGCTGAGACCTTTTGTGTCTTGCCAAACAAAGACACAAAAGGTGTTGGCATCAGCACCTTGCAGTGCTGTGCACAGAGCAGGGGCTGTGCCCATCCTGTGTGCACACACTCCCTGCTTGGATCCCTGAAGTTTTCAGGGATGCTTTAAGTTCAGATCCTTTAGGATCCTTTAAGTTTCAGCTTTTTAAGGGAGTTTTCAGCCCTTTTGGGTTTTTTTCCCCTGTATTTCCATGTGCTGATGTGAGGGGCACAGGGGCTGTTCTGCAGGTCATTATCCTCAGTGCTTTCAAGTTATTGTCCCACAGGGATTTGCCTGGAGCCTTTTCCTGCAGAGAGCTGGCAGTGCTCGTGCTTCTGGTGTTCCCTGTCAGCATCTCTGTGTGGGTGAGGAGCAAACAGAGCCAAAACTTTTGATGAGGAGCGTTTGCAAAAGAACTCAAAGCTTCCCATGGCCCTGTCTTGGGTGGGGATTGGAGCTGGGCCTTGAGCTGGTGACAGATTTATGGGATTTTTCCCAGTGCCTGGATGGTGTTGGTAGTTTCCAGTGGAACAGGATCCCACGAGGGTGAGTGGCTTTGGAGTTGTTGCCTGTGGAGCCACGTGATGGGATGAACTCACAGCTCTGGAGCAGGCAGGGCTGCAGAACCCATCCCTCCAGAAGAGCAGCCTTTTCTCCAGGAAGTGCACACAGACACTGCAAGAGCTGATTTTTCCTTTTCTTTCAACCATCCACCCCTGGATTTGCTTTGTTCCAACCCTCCATGGATCCTGCAGCTTTTGGGCAGCTCTGACACCACAATTCCCAGGCTGAGGAGTTTGGTTTTCGTGGTGTCTCAGCATTGTCAAGCAAACAACTCCAGCATGTGCAACACTGTGGAGGATCTATCTGACTGTGCCTGAGCCTCCTGCTTTTCTTCTGGAGCTGCTGGAGGGGAAACTTGCTCCACATCAGCACAGCCTGGTTTGGGGAGGGCTACAGCTCCTGCCCTGCTGTCATCCCTGTTCCTGAGTGCTTTCCATGACCCTTTGATGAACAGTGACCTCTTGTCAGCCTTGAGATCTGTGTTTGCCTCTTCTGATGTCTCCAGCCTTGTCTTGAAGCATTCACAGGAACTGATGTGGTGTAACTGTGGGATTTGTAGTTCCTGAATCCTGCCTGGCTGATCGAGGAGGAGGAGGAGGAGGAGGAGGAAGGGGGGAGCCTCCTGTCTGTGCCACTCTTCAGCTCCTCACCTTCCTCAGGCTTCAGCTTCAGCTCTGGACCCCCACTCTGCTGAAGGTGAGGAGGAGAAGCTCCCCCTGTGGCTGTGCCTTCGGCGTGGGAACACTTCTGAGGAAGCACAGAGGGTTAAACCCACATCTCTGAACCAGCCCAGGGGCAGTCACATGCACCAGGGAGATTTTGCAAGTCCCTGCGTGCAGCTCAGGGTGAGGAGAGGGAGCCAGGGGCACAGGCCTGGGTAATCCCTGCTCCAGGAGGCACAGGGGACACAGGGGCCTCATCCAGCACAGGCTGGCACCTTCCTGCTTGGGGGTGGCACCGTGTGGCACCTGTGCACTGCAGAGTGGGACAGTGGCACCTAAAGGACAGGGAGGAGGAGGAGGAGGAGGAGGCTGAGCTGCACTCCCAGCACCAGGTAAGGCTCTGCTGGCTGCTCTGGGGATGAGGCAGAAGGACCTGCTGGGTGTTTCTCTGCTGTTTAGTGAGGGCTTGGAAGTGTCCAAAAAAGAAGGAAGTGAATTGACCAGAGGGATGTTGACATTGCATAAAGAAAAAGAAGAAATGTAGAGAACACAGAGCCTGGGAGTGCAGGAGAGGAGAGGCCACCCTCGAGGTGCCTCAGGAGGGATCAGAGGCAGCTTTGGGGGGACCCAATTCCCAAATGGGCTGTTCTGCAGGGAAAGGCAATAGAGCCAAACTGTGCTGCACTGAGAGGCCAAAGCAAAGCTGCTTTGGCTGAGGAGCTCCCAGCATTTCCCTCCTGGGCACGGCTGGGCTGCTGCACCTTCACTGTCACCTCCTGGGGACTGTCCTCCAGAGGCCCCAAATTCTCATCATCTGAGCCAGAGAGCCTGAGAGCCTCTCTCTCCATCTCCAAATAGATGTGCCAGCAGCATCAAAGGGGTGGTTGGTTCTAATCAGGTTTTTCTTCAGTTTTTAATTAGTTTTTCTTTAGTGTCCTCTTTGCTTCTCTCTTCTGTGGGCTTTTCGGTCTTGATTTTACACTCCCTTCTGTTGGATGGCAAAAGAAGGAAAGGAGTGAGAAAACCCAGTCTGAATGCACCTTTTGGTGCTTTTTGTGCCCTGTGACACGTGGTGCCCACCATCCCCATGGCAGAACTGTGCCCAGGGAACCTCCCTCACCTGTGCAGGTGAAGAGCAGGGGCTGTGCCCATCCTGTGTGCACACACTCCCTGCTTGGATCCTTGAAGTTCTCAGGGATGCTTTAAGTTCAGATCCTTTAGGATCCTTTAAGTTTCAGCTTTTTAAGGGAGTTTTCAGCTCTTTTGGGTTTTTTTCCCTTGTATTTCCATGTATTTTCCCCTGTGTTTCCATGTGTTTTTTCCCTGTGTTTCCATGTTTTTTTCCCTTGTGTTTCCATGTGTTTTTCCCCTGTGTTTCCATGTGTTTTTCCCCTGTGTTTCCGTGGGGTTTTTCCCTATATTTCCATGTTTTTCCCCGTGTTTCCATGTGTTTTCCCCCTGTGTTTCCATGTGTTTTCCCCCTGTGTTTCCATGTGTTCTCCCCTGTGTTTCCATGTTTTTTTTCCCTGTTTCCATGTTTTTCCCCTGTGTTTCCATGTGTTTTTTCCCTGTGTTTCCATGTGTTTTTCCCCTGTGTTTCCATGCGTTTTTTCCCCTGTATTTCCATGTTTTTCCCCTGTATTTCCATGTTTTTTCCCCTGTGTTTCCGTGTTTTCCCCCTATGTTTCCATGGTTTTTTTTCCATGTTGTTTCTCTTGCCTCTGTTTCCTTTCTGACATTCTTCAACCAGAGACTGTCCTGACTTTGTGCAAGGGGGTAAATACAGCCACAACCAACAGAAAAAAAGGTCAGAAACAAAACAATCCCCTTTGGAAGGAGAGTGGGTGAGATCTGTGAGGGATCCTCCCACCTGGAGACAGCAACAGGCTCCTGGTTTGAGCAGAGGTTAAAAAGTAAGTGGTGGTTTTGGAGAGCTGGAGTGGAAGGTAATTGAAAAGTAAACTCCAGAGTCTTCCAAGCATTTAACAGCCACCCACAGGTGCTGGCAGGAGGTTAGAGAGCTGTGTCAGCAGGGAAAATACACCTGGAAAACCTTGGGCACTGTGCCTGCTGGGAGAATTTCCCTGAGGAGAGGGGAGGGGAAAGGAAAGTAGAGGAGAGGAGAAAGAGGGGAGAGGGGAAGGGAAAGCAGAGGTAAAGGACAAGAAAAAGAGAGGAGAAGGAAAAGGAAAAGAGAGAAGAGCAGAGGAAAAGGGAAGGAAAAGCAGAAGAGAAAGGAAGGGAAAGCAGAGGTGAGGGACAAGGAAAAGAGAGGAGAGGGAAAAGGAAAAGAGAGGAGAGCAGAGGAAAAGGGAAGGAAAAGCAGAGGAGAAAGGAAGGGAAAGCAGAGGTGAAGGACAAGGAAAAGAGAGGAGAGCAGAGGAAAAGGGAAGGAAAAGCAGAGGAGAAAGGAAGGGAAAGCAGAGGAGATGGACAAGGAAAAGAGAGGAGAGGGAAAAGGAAAAGAGGGGAAAGCAGAGGTGAAGGACAAGGAAAAGAGAGGAGAGCAGAGGAAAAGGGAAGGAAAAGCAGAGGAGAAAGGAAGGGAAAGCAGAGGAGAGGGACAAGGAAAAGAGAGAAGAGGGAAAAGACAGGAGAGGGAAAAGGAAAAGAGAGGAGAAGGGAAGGGAAAGAAGAGATGAAGAACAAAGAAAAGAGAGGAGAGAGAAAAGAGAGGAGACGGGAAAGGAAAGCAGAGGAGAAGGGAAAGCAGAGACCCTCAAAGGCTTCCCTGCTGTGGGTGGGAGCTCCTGCTTGTCTCTGCCTTCAGCAGATGCATTTTTCTGCCTCATCTGCACTTCTCCCATCCTGTGGTGAGGATCTGTCCCCGTGTCACTGAGCAGAAATGTCACTTCCAGGGAGGGGCATTTCCACCAGCTCCAGCTCATTCTGGAGGTGATGGCAAAGAGGTTTGGCAAGGAGAAACCCTGACTGTTCCTTGCTAATTGCTTGCAAAATGTGAATGCTGATGGATGTCAGGATAATTTAAGGAATATTTAAGGATAACTTTCCACCTCTTAACAAAAACCAACCATAAAAAGTGAGGCAGTGTGTACTGAGCTCACACTGGCCAACACCAGGTGCTGACATCCCCCAGGAGCAGACTCTCTGTTGTTTTCCTTTATTTGCTGTCTCTGCAAGATTTGGGATGTTCTTTTTCTCTTTTCAGGGCTAAAAAATGCCTCGTGGCTCATGGGAAGCAGGATGGCCAGGAAGGCAGCAGTGGGAGTGAGGGTTTCACAGTCTGCTCCCCACTCAGCTGCTGTGGGGCTGCTTGGTGCTTCCCAGCAGGGAGAGACAGAAATGCTGAATTAGAGAGAGAAATGCTGAATTTCTGACCAGAAAACACAGAATCCTTCAAGGAGACACACCTTCAGCATGGCCCAGAAAAGCCAGACTGGTGGAAATGAGAAAAATAGATCCTCCCTCCTGTACAGCAAGAGTGATCTCAAAGAAGGAGCCCTGCAGTGGGTGCCAGGTAAGGGAGCAGCTCATTGCTAAAGGGAGAGGCAGATCTGAGCTCAGTGTCCTTAAAATAACCACTGACAGATTTTACCAAAGATGCTCTTTAACAGCATCTCACTTGTGAAGGTACCAAAACACTGTGGATGTTTCAGCACTTTGGGAAGGGGATGGAGATACTTTGGGGTGTTTTTTTTTAATGCCTGATATGCAGGAATGAACAAATCAACCTACAGAAAAACAGCCCTGCAAGGCCTCTCCTCTTGGCCTCTGAAGCTGAGAAACCTTTGGGAAACTTGACCTGTGCTGAGGCAGCAGGGCAGGGGGGATTGTGCCCTGTGCCCTGTGCTCAGGTGAGACCCCACCTGCAGAGCTGCCCCAGCCCTGGCCCAGCACAGGCAGGAGCTGGAGCTGCTGCAGAGACCCAGAGGAGGCACCAGGGGGATCAGGGGATGGAGCAGCTCTGCTGGGAGGAGAGGCTGGGACAGCTGGGATTGTTCACCTGCACAGGAGAAGCTTTGGGGGCACCTCAGTGTGGCCTTGCAGGGCCTGGAGGGGCCGACAGGAAAGATGGAGAGAGACTGTCCAAGGGCCTGGAGTGCCAGGACACAGGGAATGGCTTCAAACTGAAAAGATTGGAGATTAGGAAGGACATTTCCCCTGGCAGGGTGGGCAGGCCCTGGCACAGGGTGCCCAGAGCAGCTGGGGCTGCCCCTGGATCCTTGGCAGTGCCCAAGGCCAGGCTGGACAGGGCTGGGAGCCCTCAGGCAGAGCCATGGATGGCTGGTCACTCACAGCCCCCACACCCTCCAGCAGGGCCAATTTTTGCTCTAAATGACCCCAGGAGCAGCCCAGGGACACCTGGCTGACCCTGGAGCTGCAAAGGGGAAGGAAATTTCGGTGAAACCTTTCAGTGAAGCAGGATCTCAGCTGAACCAGCCACTTCCTTAGGCCCAAACTCTTCCTGTCTCTGTAGCACAGCTTGTGTAAGCTCTAGGTGGGTGCCAGATGGGCTGCCTGGAGATCACAGCTCTCCTGTGCTGCTCCTCAAATCTAGGACAGGCTGTCCTCACACTCTTTAGGCTCCTGACCCATCCCAGTCTGGGATGCATCTGTGATCCTGGCCCGAGCTGACACTGGAAGAGCCTTGAGCAGAGCCACGCTCCTGGAGGGTCTGGGGTGCTCCAGGGCAGCCCTGCCACATTCCCAAGCAAAGGGATTGCTGGAAAACACTTGAATTCATGGCTCAAGTTGGTTTTTATGGTGGTGGGGGTCTCCAAGAGAGCAGTGAGCCTCAGCACCACCAAGGAGCCTGAGCCCACTGTCCTTCCATGTGGTGGTGAAACAGCAGGCCAAAGTTCTACAGACCAAATCCTGACTCAAGCCAACAGAAGCCATCAGAAAGCCAGAACTGGTTTTTGAGAAAGCCAAAACTGGTTTTTCTACAGCTCCAGGGGCTTCCAGATGGCCATGGCCATGGTGAGGGCACCACAGGCTGCCCAGCCTGGCACTGGGTTCTTGTGCCTGGGGGGAGAGCAGGGCACAAATCCTGGTTCTAACATAATTTCTAGTGGGTTCTCTTGGCAATTCCAGCTCACAAAACAACTCGTTTTCCCCGAGAAAGAGCTCCAAGACTGTGGAAAACAAGTTGCTTGAGTCAGGATTTGGTTGGTAGGCCTTTGGCCTGCTGTTTCACCTCCACACTTCCAGTCAGGGGTTGCTGAGGCAGGACATGGTTGTGCTGCAGATCAGAGCATCTGTTATCTCATGTTATCTCTGGCTGCTCACTCCTGTTTCCTTCCAGGGGGTCTCAGGCTGCTTGCAGAGCTCCTTAGCAATGGCCAAGGAGGAGATTCTAGATCAGTTTAAGCCACACCAGGGTGGTTTGTGTTCTCAGGCTCCCCTTTGCCAGGTGCTGCCTGGCTTTGGAATAAAACCCCAGCAGTGCTGTGCTCATGGCTCTTGCAGAACCCCTCTTGCAGTGCTGTGCTCATGGCTCTTCTGGGCTCTTACAGAACCCCCAAGTTCTGTGCTCAAGGCTCTTTTGGGCTCTTACAGAACTCCCCCAGTGCTCATGGCTCTTCTGGGCTCTTATAGAACCCCCCATTGCTGTGCTCATGGCTCTTTTGGGCTCTTACAGAACCCCCCAGTGCTCATGGCTCTTTTGGGCTCTTGCAGAACCCCCCATTGCTGTGCTCATGGCTCTTTTGGGCTCTTACAGAACCCCCCCATTGCTGTGCTCATGGCTCTTTTGGGCTCTTACAGAACCCCATCAAGGCCAGGTGCTGCTGGTGCTCAGCATGGACAACACCTGCCCCAGCTCCTCCTTTGACATGGACCTTTGTGCTGACAAACTGCAGTCCCTTGGCATCCAGGTGAGCTCCCCTGGGAGTTAATTCCAGCTGGATTTGCATAATTTGCATTTACACCCACGGCCCAGATGGCTTTGGGGTTTTTTTTTTGGTTTGAGAGTTGCTTGTTTCAGCCCAACTTCACTCAATTCCCCGTGGGCTGGAGTCAACTGGGATGAACTTGGCTTAAATCTCTGTGAAGAAACTCTTTGAAGGTAGTTTGGAGTGAATTTTGCTTAAGTTCACTCTGATAGGGCAGAACATCCCTGGGACATCTGACTTGTCTTGTCCTTCATCACAAAAAGGCATTTTCTTCCCTTGTGACTGTCCCTGCTCTTCCCAGGCAGGTTTTACTCACTGCAGCTGAGGCAGGAACACAATTTTGGGTCTGTGGCAGCTCTGTGGGTGGGATTGGAGGTGCTCCCTGTGGGAGGCAGCTCTGGGACACACATTTGGGTTGCAGTGCCCCATGAGGAGTTGTAGTGAAATGTGAGAAATGAATTTGTAGAAAAATTTAGACACAGAATTTATACTATGGGTTGCAGTGTGCATTATGTAAACCTTCTATAAAACTTAAAAAATTTTCTATAAATTCATTTCTCACAGTGAAACAGCAGGCCCAAGGCCTACAAACCAAATCCTGACTCGAGCCAACAAGCCATGAGAAAGCTGACAGCTCTTGGTGAGAACAGAGTCCTGCAGCAGTGAAAAACAACTTGTTTTCCCTAAGAAAGAGCTCTAGGACTGTGGAAAACAACCTGCTTTCCCTGAGAAAGAGCTCTAGGGCTGTGATAAACGTTAGCCACATGTATAAACTGTGTTTACTCTGTTAGATAGAAAAATGAAAACTATCTCACAAACACGTAGACACCGAGGGTTGGAGTGACCAACCCACACAGAATAACAACTCTTTACTGACCAATTGGGGGTAGACAGGGGATGTGCCTAAAAAACCCTATAAAAGGGGATGTGAGGAATAAACTGGGATGGATCCTTTTTTTTTTTTTTTTTTTTTGCACCATAAAATGTGTTCTGCATTGTTGGGAAAGATGAAAGTTTGACAAGAAAATTTCCCAGCTATGTGTGCTTGGCAGAAAGATCTCTGAATGTAGAACCTGAGAGCAGAATAGAGATGGGAGCAAGTTTTGATATAGAAGAACAATGGATGTGTAAATTGAGGATTGCTGAGCCAGTCTTAGTGGACAACTAAAAAAAGCAAAGGTTAAGTTGAGCTGGAAGGAGGTTTTATGACTAGACCAAAGGATATGTTGACCACAAACAAAAAAGATGTTTTTTCCAAGCAGAAATAGGTCTTAGGAAAAGCAGAGGATACCACAGGCAAACAAACACGCTGATGTGGCAGGTAGAAAAATATCATTTCAGTGCCCCCCAGCTGGGTAATAATTAGCATTGATGCCATGATTCACAGAAGGCTGATCAATCTCTTTATTATATATATCATTATTAAGAAACCATTGCTTGTATAGACAGGTATGATACACCTGGACCTAATTGGTCCTTCAATCCAAACACCATCACCAGTGGCCAATTAAGAAACCACCCTTTGGTAAACAAATCTCCATAGCACATTCCACATGTGCACAACAACAGGTGCAGCAGGTTAAGATGAGAATTGTTTCTCATTCTTTTCTCTGATCTTCTCACAGCCTTCCCCAGAAAGGCCTGGGAAAGTTGTGTTTCTCTCTGTGGCCAGAGAGCTGCTGCCACAGAAAAAAGGTTTAAGAATTTTCCACTGCAGGAAAACAGAAAAACAACTTTAAGCTTAAACTGTACCATACTAACTCATGTGGTTGGATAGTAATGTCTGCAATATGGTAATGATAGTTGTGGTAGGCTATAGGCAATAGTAAAGGTTTTGTATATGATGATGATTGGTTATTATGTATTAAGATGCTCAGCAAAGAAAAATATTTATCATTTTCTTTATATAATATATATCTTTTTCTAATATATAATTTTCTTTATATTAAAATATAAATAAATATAATATAAATATAACATATAAAATATGATTTTAATTCAGAACTAAAGGGGCTTCAGGTTTTCTTATAGCTGTAGCTGGCAGCTTTAGGCGTGGCTCTGTTACCCACGACCCATGGCTACTGTAACATCTTCTGTACAATAAACAGCATTTTGAAGAGCTGTAATATACAATAAACAGCATTTTGAAGGCTGTAATATACAGTAAACAGCATTTTGAAGAGCTGTAATATACAGTAAGCAGCATTTTGTATATAGTAAACAGCCTTTTGAACAGCTGTAATATACAATAAGCAGCATTTTGAAGAGTTGTAATATACAACAAACAGCATTTTGTATATAATAAACAGCTTCTTGGAAAGCTGTAATATACAGTAAACAGCATTTTGTATACAATAAATGGCATTTTGTATACAATAAGCAGCATTTTGAAGAGCTGTAATATACAATAAACAGCATTTTGTATATAGTAAACAGCCCTTTGAACAGCTGTAATATACAATAAGCAGCATTTTGAAGAGTTGTAATATACAATAAACACCATTCTGTATATAATAAACAGCCTCTTGGAAAGCTGTAATATACAGTAAACAGCATTTTGTATACAATAAGCAGCATTTTGTATACAATAAGCAGAATTTTGAAGAGCTGTAATATACAATAAACAGCATTTTGTATACAATAAATGGCATTTTGTATACAATAAACAGCATTTTGAAGAGCTGTGATATACAATAAACAGCATTTTGTATACAATAAACAGCATTTTGTATACAATAAGCAGCATTTTGAAGAGCTGTAAAATACAATAAGCAGCATTTTGAAGAGCTGTAATATACAATAAACAACATTTTGTATACAATAAACAGCATTTTGCAGAGCTGTAATATACAATAAACAGCATTTTGTATACAATAAACAGCATTTTGTATACAATAAACAGCATTTTGAAGAGCTGTAATATACAATAAACAGCATTTTGTATACAATAAACAGCATTTTGAAGAGCTGCCTGATGTCCCCCATCTCTCATCTCAGGCTCTTGCACAACATCCTCCTTTATTGAGCCACAGCACCCACGAGCTTTGCCCAGCTGGCTCTGCTGGGGCTGGAGCCCACGCTGGAGGCTGGCTGTGGTTCTGTGTTTGTTCCTGCAGGTGCCCATTGATCCATGGAGGAGGCTGATCCAGGAGGGTGTGCTGAGCCCCCAAGGGAGGCGGTACCTGTTCTACAGCTCCAGGGGCTGCCAGATTGCCATGGCCATGGTGAGGGCACTGCAGGCTGCCCAGCCTGGCACCAGGGTTCTTGTGCCCAGGGAGGGAGCGGGGCTGGGCTGGGCTGAGCAACAAATCCCAGTTCTGACACATTCCTGGTGGGTTCTCTTGGCAATTCCAGTCTCGGGACTTCTGCTGGTCAGGATGACCCCAAGATGCATTAGAAATTCTCTTTTCCCAGCCCAGCAGTCGAAGAAGGAGTCAGGACTCCTCTATTCTCATTCTCAAGGTTGTTTATTGTTTCTTATCTATAAAATTCTTTCTCTGGCCTGTCGAAGTCCATCCAGCAGGACAGTTCCAGGCACTCTGCCTGCCCCCAGGGTGGGGTTATCTTTTTATACTAAAAACTACGTGTACAATATTTACAATAACTTCCTAATACCTATTACCTATGTTAGATACTGAGCTTCTACTCCAAACCAATCCAAAAGTGCCACCGTCACAGCAGAAGATGGAGGCCAAGAAGAAGAAGGAGAAAGGCTGGACATGCCCAGATCCCTCCATCTTGCCTCCTGAACCCCCATTCTAAAAACCCCAAAAAATCAATTTTTCACCCTGCAACAAACTAACTATTATTCTACTTAAACTGTTGTGGCTTGCAGATCCTCATATAAGGTTGGTAATTTTTTCCATGGGTCATAATCAAAGGCACAGGTGTGACTTGGGCTCTGTGCCAGGGTCTCTGAGCCCCCTGGCAGGGGCTGGAGCAATGCAGGACAGGCAGAGGGATGTCCTGAATTCTGACATTCCAGCTCACAGAATTGCTGCAGATGGAGGGCAGGGCTCTCTCTCCACCCTGTTGGTGGAGTCCCACCAAAGTCTGGTGTCTTGTCTCTACCCAGGCTGTCCATGGGTGACCAGCACTTGCTGAGGCAACAGCACCTACAACAGGTTTGGTTTAGAACTTGATTTTAAAGATCTAAAGGCATTCTAGTCCTCATGCTAATTTAGACCAATGAATCAGTCAACTTTTGGTCTTGTTTATCTTCTTCTGGTGAAAGAAACTTCTCCAGAGACCCAACCATGAGCATCTGCTGTGAGGCTGGTGCATTGCAGTGTGCTGAGGGTGTGATCAAATCCAAATCTTTAATTCCTTTTTTTAAATTTTTTGAATAGCCATTATGCAAACCTTCTCCTTTCACTGATACTGTGAATGTTCAATGATCAGTTTTGAGGGGTTTGGTGCACCTGAGTTTTGTCATTATGAGATGAGGCCGTGCCCTACATGTCAGACCTGCTCCTAGGCAATCTCCTGCCCAAATCCATGCTCTGTGAGGTGAAGGAATCCAGTTTTCCCTGCCTTTAACCCACCCCTTTAGCCCTGTGTCAGTGCCCCCTGGTTGAGCATTACTGTAATGGAGTGGTCTCTGCACCACCTTGAAATAGGAACTTTCTAAATCCAGGCACTCTGAGAATTATTATCAATATGCCTCAGTGAGTGCATTCCTCATCTAAATGGAAGAACTCAGTTGAAATCCTTCCTAGGGATGAATCATCATAAATAATTCACTCTTTGTCTTTGGTGAGTGGTGATTTTTTAAAATAAACTAGGGCTCACTCAGTCCTTCCAATCCTTTCTTTCCTCTATTTATTATTGGAAAGAAGTTTTGTCCTTTCTCACCCTGTGAAAAATCTCGTGGGACCTAATTTATAAGGGAGAAGGAACTGTTATTTCCTTCTTCCTGTGACTTTTCTCACTTTCATGGGTTTGTGACTCTCACCAGCCTCTCTGTTTTTCCCCAGGTATTCTACATCTCTCTCTGGACAAACCTTTACTCCACCCTCCAGCTGTGTTCCCTGGGCCACTCCTGGGGGGCTGGCGTGCTGGTGACACTGGTGGCCCTGGCTCTCACTGTCCTGGTGATCCTGGTCATTGATGGGCACCAGAGGAAGGTGAGAGGAGGCTCCAGGAGTGGGGATGTGGAGAGAGGGGAGCAGGATTCTTCCTGCTGGGGCATTCCCTGGCTGCAGGCAGAGAAAACAATGATCCAGGGAAGAGGGAATGATTTTACAGCACTCAGGGAAGGCAAGGGATGTTCTGCAGCCAAGGGAGGGGATGGAATGTTTGAAAGGGAAGTGTTGGAGCTGCTCAGGCTGGCTCAGAGCTCCTGCTGCTGGAGATCAGAGGGTTAGAGAACCCCGGCCTGGTTTGGGTTAAAAGGGACCTTGAAGCCCATCCAGTGCCACCCCTGCCATGGCAGGGACACCTCCCACTGTCCCAGGTGCTCCCAGCCCTGTCCAGCCTGGCCTTGGGCACTGCCAGGGATCCAGGGGCAGCCCCAGCTGCTCTGGGCACCCTGTGCCAGGGCCTGCCCACCCTCACAGGGAACAATTCCTAATTCCCAATATCCCATCCAGCCCTGCCCTCTGGCAGTGGGAGCCATTCCCTGTGTCCTGTCCCTCCATCCTTGTCCCCAGTCCCTCTCCAGCTCTCCTGGAGCCCCTTCAGGCCCTGCAAGGGCTCTGAGCTCTCCCTGGAGCTTTTCTATCCTATCTCCAGGCTGGGCATGGATGTCAGTCCCTCAATGTCCAGCCAAACAACCTGTTGGGGAAAACCCAAACTTTAAAACCCACTGGTGCCTTGGTGGCTGCTCCTGGCAGGACCTTCCCAGGCAGCCCAGACTGGACAATCCCTCCCCTCCAGCCCAGCTTCTCCCTGTGCCAAACAGCAACAAAGCCATCCCTTGTCCCCAGTCCCTCTCCAGCTCTCCTGGAGCTTCTTTGAGCACTGAGAGGCCACAGCAGGGTCACCCTGCAGACCAACCCTTGCAGAGGATGGATTGTGCTCCACAGCAGCTCTGGCTCCTGCCCTGCTGCTGATGATTCCTCCTGGCATTCCCTGCTGCCTCTGGCATCACTGGCACCATTTATTTGGCTGAAGAATAATATTGGAAAGTCTTGATTCAAAATCCAGAGGGGGATTTGGAGCAAATGATTCTTCCAAGAGGAAACCAGGCAAATGTGGGGGTTCACAGATGTTCAGGAAAGGAGATTGCTGGGGGGTGGAAGGGAGAACATGACACTGGAAATCAATCCCACTGTTCTCCTTTCAGAATTGCAGTATTTGGGCTTATCCAGCTGCACTTTGTAGACTTTTGCTGTGGATTGTGTTATTTTTCCTTGCATTCTTTAACAGCTAAACGTGAACACAGATGTGAGGCTGGCAGCTGTCAATGAAATCTTTCTCAAACACAGCATAATCCTGGGGATTACAGATGTCCTGGACGGGCCACACAACATCCTACAAGTATCCTTGGTGGGAATTGGTCAGGGAATTGGTCAGGAGGGATAATTGGTCAGATCCCTCTTGCTGGAGACATTTATCAATTATATCAATGATCTGTATCAATTTATCACAACATCAATTATTGTTGATGCTGTGATCCAGAGGGTGGCATTCCTAGGATCTTCTTTGTCTCCTATGGGAGAGGAATTGGGATGTTTTTATTTCTCCTGTAAGTGGGGATTGAGATGTGCCCAAAGGTGATTGGAAATAATGAGTCTAAATGATTGAAGTGGGATTCATTAGGGCAGACAATTATTCCTAAAAATGTGTTATAATGATGTGACACTGATGGTTCTGCCTATAGGCAGAGGGATAGCAAAGTTCCTATGGCAAAAAAACCCCCAAACCAAACCAAAACACAAAAACCCAAAAAAACCCCAACAAAAACTGCTAAAAAAACATGAGGGAGAAAACCAAACAGTCTCCCAAAAACTCTAACATGGAGAAAAACAAAATCCCCATCCTTGGGCTCATTTGCTCCTTTTCAGAGATTATTTTTCTTCACTAGACAGGGATTTAGGGGAATGAAGAGAGTTTTAAGGCTCCATGAAGGTGTTAAAGGAAGGTGAGAGAGACACAGAGAGAGGCTTGAAATACAAATGGAGAGAGAAGCCAGGGTGAAGGGGACCGGGAACACTGCAGGAGGGCACAGTCATTCAGGAGGAGAGGAAACCCTGAAAAACCTGAATTCTACATTTGCAAACCTGAATTCTACATTTGTAACCTGAATCCCACATTTGTAAACCTGAATTCTACATTCGTAAACCTGAATTCTACATTCGTAAACCTGAATTCTACATTTCTAAACCTGAATTCCACATTTGTAAACCTGAATCCCACATTTGTAAACCTGAATCCCACATTTGTAACCTGAATTCCACATTTGTAAACCTGAATCCCACATTTGTAAACCTGAATCCCACATTTGTAAACCTGAATCCCACATTTGTAACCTGAATCCCACATTTGTAAACCTGAATCCCATATTTGTAAACCTGAATCCCACATTTGCAAACCTGAATCCCACATTTTTTCAGGCCATCATAGTCCATTAGAGGACTAATCCAGGGAACCTTCACCTTGACCTACCTGTCCCAAAACTGCCTGAGAGCAGCAAATAACCCAGAGATTTACAATGGCTCTGTCTGCTCCAATGTCAGATCCATTTTAACCCTCTGGATTTTATATTTTTCCTGCATCCCTGTGCTGCTGGCAGATGCACAAGCACAGAGCTCTGGCTGCCTCAGAGCTGGCAGGACTCACATCCCCAACACCCTGCTCTTGGAAAACTCTTCTCAGAAGTGTCCTCAGAGCAGCACTGAGAATGGGCAAGTTTGTAAAAAATCAGTGGAGTGAATCCCTAGAAACAAAGTGAGGCAGCAGGAAGGGGTTTAGGGCAGCTGAGGGTGTGGGGCCACTGAGATGAGCAATGGGAAATGACCCTGGCTCATCCCAGGCTGCAGGGGCTGAGGGAGGAGCACTGGCTACTCTCTGCTTCCCCTTTAGCTTGGGCTTTTAGCCCACACCCTGCTGGCTTCTAACCAGCCACTGCTTTAAAACGTGGAATTCAGGTTTACAAGTGTGGAATTCAGGTTTTTAGGGTTCCCTCCTCCTCCTGGCTTCAAACCAGCCACTGCTTTAAAACGTGGAATTCAGGTTTACAAGTGTGGAATTCAGGTTTTTCTGGGTTTTCTCTTCCTCATGGCTTCAAACCAGCCACTGGTTTTAAACCAGCCATTGGTTTAAATGTGGAATTCAGGTTTACAAATGTGGAATTCAGGTTTTTCAGGGTTTTCTCTCCTCATGGCTTCAAACCAGCCACTGGTTGTAAACCTGGCTTCAAACCAGCCACTGGTTTTAAATCAGCCATTGGTTTAAAATGTGGAATTCAGGTTCACAAATGTGGAATTCAAGTTCACAAGTGTGGAAGTCAGAATTTTCAGGGTTTCCTCCTCCTCCTGTCCTCAAACCAGCCACTGGTTTTAAACCAGCCACTGGTTTAAAATGTGGAATTCAGGTTTTCAAATTTAGAATTCAGGTTTTTCAGGGTTTCCTCCTCCTCATGGCTTCAAAACAACTGCTGGTTGCAAACCTGGCTTCAAACCAGCCACTGGTTTAAAATGTGGAATTCAGGTTTACAAATATAGAATTCAGGTTTTTCGGGGTTTTCTCTCCTCATGGCTTCAAACCAGCCACTGGTTTTAAACCAGCCATTGGTTTAAAATGTGGCATTCAGGTTCACAAATGTGGAATTCAAATTTACAAGTGTGGAATTCAGAATTTTCAGGGTTTCCTCCTCCTCCTGTCCTCAAACCAGCCACTGGTTTGAAACTGGCTTCAAACCAGGCACTGCTATTTGGTCCTGGCTGTCCTGAGCACCCTGAGGGCATCACCTGCCTCAGCTCTGCTCCCTGGGAGCCCATGCCAGCATCCTCAGGGATGGCAGGGGAGGCATGGAGAGATTCCTTCCTTAAGCAGCCCCTCCCAGCTGTGCTTTGTGCACTTCAGCCCCCAGCACTGCCTCCAGGCCCTGGCAGCCCACATCACTCACCTGCAGGGGACACAGGTAAGGGACACTGGGGACACCTGGGCACACGGGCAGCTCCTGCCCCGAGCCCTGCGTTTGCTGGGGTGGAGGTGGGCAAGGACAGAGACCTGGCCCAGGTCCCCACAGGGGGGACACCAAGCTGGCCTGCAGGTGGCCCTGGGGACCTGCCCACTCTGTCCCTGCCTCCTCGGCCTTGTTTTGGCCTGGGATGGAGCTGGGCAAGGACAAAGGAGTGTTGGAGTGCCCCGCTGTGCACTGGGAGCTGGGCAGACTGGAAGGTGAATAAAGTGCACCTGTCCCTGCCCAGTTCAGCAGGAATTTGTCCAGACCCTGTGGAATATGTGTGTCTGGGTAATTAACAGTGCAGCTTTAATGATGGAAAGTCATCAGGAATGAAAGGCAAATTTTGGAAGCATGTGGCACACCTTGGAACAGCTGCCACCTTGAGCTGTCCTCCTGGAAAAAGTGGGATAGCCTGGAGGAGCAGGAATTGCTGCATTCAGTTAATTATATAAACATTTTGTCCTCTTGGCCTTCAGAAAATGTTTTGCTCTCTGTGGGTGTGTAAATATCCACTGAACTGCTTTTGTGTGGTGAGGGGTGAGAGCCCTCTGAAATCTCCAGGCTGCTCATCTCCCTGAAAGCTGCAGCTCAGGGGTGGGCAGCAGTTCCTGGATTCACACAGGGGATGAGAGAACTCTGGTTTTAAAGACAGGATTCTCCATGCCAGGCTGTGTCTGTGGTGCTGAGAGCAGCCACTGGCAGCTGAGGGCAGCCAGGCCATGCCAGGGACACCCAGCTCCAAGTGCTGGGCACAGCCCATGGCATGGGAAACCCCAGGAGTGAAAAATGTGCAAAACAAAGAGAAATTTGTACCTTTTAAACTCTGTCCTCAAGACACCACTGCTGTCTGGGGTGGGAAATCCTAGGATTTAAATCCATGCAGGGAAAAATGGTGCCCTGTAAAGGCTGTGCTCAGGACACCACTGCTGCCTGGGGTGGGAAATTCCAGGAATAAAAACCATGCAAGGACAAATGGTGCCCTGTAAAGGCTCTCCACAGGACAGCACTGCTGCCTGCCTTTGGAGAGCCCCAAAATCTCCTTCTCTTCCAGGCAGGCTTGAGGCACAGGCTGAACAAGCTCTGTGTGGTCATGGATGTGGCAGCTCAGCCCGAGCTGGGGGTGGAGGAGGAGGCTCCATGTGAAGAATCCCCTCTTTTATCCAGAGGGGTGACCCTGAATAAGGATCCTGTGACCTGCAGTGAGCTCCTGCACCTCATCCCCGAGGGTCCACCCCAGGTAAGGAGAAATATCCCCTTTATAGAGGCACCAAATCACCCCCGAGGCATCTCAGCTCCAAAACTCATCCCAGCCATGGGGGACCTCACCTTTTTCTCCAGCAGAAGCACCTGGAAGCCCACACAGACCTTCTCCAGTCCTGGTGCTGCCAGGAGGAGGAGGAGGAAACCCTTAAAAACCTGAATTCCATGTTTGTAAACCTGAATTCAAAGCTGTCTGAGCAGCTGGGGATAATCCTTGAGGAATTCATGGATTGGGCTTTTCCTTGCTGCTCCCAAAGGTCCTGTTTGGAAGAAAACCTCTCCCCAGGGACCTGATGCCCCTGCCCAGGCTGAGCTGAGCCATGGATCAGCCCAGCCTTTGTCTCCTCCATGGAAAGTGCCTTCAAAGCCTTGTGCCATGCTGAGCAACAAATGTGCCCTGATTCCTGCTCAGCACGGAGCTACCAAAGGGATGATTCTGATTTATTTTGCAGTTTTCCTGTCACGTCCCTAAGTGAGTTCAGTACAGGTGACATCCCTGCAGGTTGAGGCTCTCTGGCTGTCTACAGGCCAAAACAAGCCCGAGGAGGCAGGGACAGAGTGGGCAGGTCCCCAGGGCCACCTGCAGGCCAGCTTGGTGTCACCCCTGTGGGGACAGAGTGCCAGCACTGTGGCCACAAGGGGACCTGGGCCAGGTCTCTGTCCTTGCCCACCTCCACCCCAGCAAACCCAGGGCTCGGGGCAGGAGCTGCCCGTGTGCCCAGGTGTCCCCAGTGTCCCTTACCTGTGTCCCCTGCAGGTGAGTGATGTGGGCTGCCAGGGCCTGGAGGCAGTGCTGGGGGCTGAAGTGCACAAAGCACAGCTGGGAGGGGCTGCTTAAGGAAGGAATCTCTCCACGCCTCCCCTGCCATCCCTGAGGATGCTGGCATGGGCTCCCAGGGAGCAGAGCTGAGGCAGGTGATGCCCTCAGGGTGCTCAGGACAGCCAGGACCAAATAGCACAGCCCAGTGCCTGGTTTGAAGCCAGTTTCAAACCAGTGGCTGGTTTGAGGACAGGAGGAGGAGGAAACCCTGAAAATTCTGAATTCCACACTTGTAAATTTGAATTCCACATTTGTGAACCTGAATTCCACATTTTAAACCAATGGCTGGTTTAAAACCAGTGGCTGGTTTGAAGCCAGGTTTACAACCAGTGGCTGGTTTGAAGCCATGAGGAGAGAAAACCCTGAAAAACCTGAATTCCATATTTTAAACCAATGGCTGGTTTAAAACCAGTGACAAGTTTGAAGCCATGAGGAGGAAACCCTGAAAAACCTGAATTCCATATTTATAAACCTGAATTTCACGTTTTAAACCATGGCTGGTTTAAAACCAGTGGCTGGTTTGAAGCCAGGAGGAGGAGGGAACCCTCAAAAACCTGAATTCCACACTTGTAAACCTGAATTCCACGTTTTAAACCAGTGGCTGGTTTGAACCCAGAAGGAGGAGGAAACCCTGAAAAACCTGAATTCCACATTTTAAACCATGGCTGGTTTGAAACCAGTGACAGGTTTGAAGCCATGAGGAGGAGGAAACCCTGAAAAACCTGAATTCCATATTTATAAACCTGAATTCCACATTTTAAACCAGTGGTTGGTTTAAAACGAGTGGCTGGTTTGAAGCCAGGAGGAGGAGGGAACCCTGAAAATTCTGAATTCCACACTTGTAAACTTGAACGCCACGTTTTAAACCAGTGGCTGGTTTGAACCCAGAAGGAGGAGGAAACCCTGAAAAACCTGAATTCCACATTTTAAACCATGGTTGGTTTAAAACCAGTGGCTGGTTTGAAACCAGGAGGAGGAGGGAACCCTGAAAAACCTGAATTCCACACTTGTAAACCTGAATTCCACGTTTTAAACCAGTGGCTGGTTTGAAGCCAGGTTTACAACCAGTGGTTGGTTTGAAGCCATGAGGAGGAGGGAACCCTAAAAACCTGAATTCCACACTTATAAACCTGAATTCCACGTTTTAAACCAGTGACAGGTTTGAAGCCATGAGGAGGAGGGAACCCTGAAAAACCTGAATTCCACACTTGTAAACCTGAATTTCACATTTTAAAGCAGTGGCTGTTTTGAAGCCAGCAGGGTCTGGGCTAAAAGCCCAAGCTAAAGGGGAAGCAGAGAGCAGCCAGTGCTCCTCCCTCAGCCCCTGCAGCCTGGGATGAGCCAGGGTCATTTCCCATCGCTCATCTCAGTGGCCCCACACCAAGTCACCTGTGGGGCACGGTGACCCAGTGCTCTGGCAGCTCCCTTGCTCCCTGCAGGCCATGGCCCAGCAGCTCCTGGTGATCTTCAGCGCGTGCTACGTGCGGCTCCTGGTGACAGGCCGGCTGCCTCGGGCCAGCCCCGGGGGACACCTGGGCCACAGCAGCGTCCCCTGCCTCTGCCAGTTCATCCAGAGCACCCTGCTCTGCTCCTGAGTCGGGAATTGTCACCGGTGTCCTCTCTGAAAAATCCCTGCGCCAGGATTTCTTCTCCTGGTAAGCTGGAAAGCCTCGGGAAAGAATTAAAACAATAATTACCTGATTGCTTCTCCTGTGTTTGGCTGCTTTGGAATGTGGTCATTATTTGATTGGTTTCATGTGAATTGGTTTTGTTTAATGATCAATCCCAGTCCAGCTGTGTCCAGACTCTGGTCAGTCATGGGTTTTTATTATTCATTCTTGTTTTAGCCTTCTGATGTCTCTCCTTTCTCTTTCTTTAGTATAGTTTTAGTATATAATTTCTTTTAATATAATATAATATCATATCGTAAAATAATAAATCAGCCTTCTAAGAGGCTGATCTCTCATCTCTCACCTCATCCTGGGGACCCTCACCAATTCCTCGACAAGGAATGACACATGTCACCCTAGTCTTCTAAGCCTTCTGATGTTTACATTTTTGTACTGGAGTTTCTCATGCACTTTTATGTCAATAATGTTTTTTTTTGGTATTCTTTTCTAGCAAAGGAGAAGTTTGATAGACTGTTAGTTTAACCAGTGTCATTAGAGAAGTAACAACTTCATCCTCCAATCCAGGGTCACTTTTGAAATTCTATCTATATCAAAGTCGAGAAATAAACCTTCTTCTTTTTACCATAGAAGTTTCAGCATGTGTGTCATTCATTTCGTGTCCTGATACAACAGACCCCAGGTCAGAAGGCTGAGAGGCCAGAAGCCCTGACTTTATTGGAACCCCTTCTTTTGTACCCTGGTTGGATACAGAGGGACCTGATTGGCCATTTAATCAATGCATTTCATGATTGGCTAATTAAGAAGACACCCTTTGGTAAAACATCTTAGGAGGAAAACAACTTGTTGAAAACACCACCTGCAGATGGTTTGCCATTTGTTTACCTTTCTTTTTCTCTGCCTCCCTAAAACTTCCCAGACCAATTCATGGGAAAGCTTCTCTGGCTTTCTCTCTCACTGACCAGACTGTTGTCTCCACAGTGCTCCACACCCACCAGAGCTGGGCCAGGTGACCACAGGGGGCTGGAAATCCCCAAAACAGCTGTCCCCACACTCCAGTGTGGAGGAGCTGTGGGGCAGAGAAGGGAGCTCTAATTCCTTGTCCTGGATGAACGAGTAGAAATGGGACTCTAATAATAAAGACACAGGAAAGCTGCTCACCTTGGAGAGCTCCTGCCCAGCTTGGAGAGCTCCTGCCCACCAGCTCAGTGAGGAGGGGCTGCCCCAGGGGTCAGGAACAATCCAGGGATGGCCTGGAACTCGTTTGTGTCCAAACCCCCCTGCCAGCAACCATCACCCCTCACAGAACCCCGTACCAGCAAAGGCCAGAGGTTTGCTGGGGTGGCAGCAGGAGGCTGAGCCCTGGAGCACCAGGACTTGGCACTTGCCATGGTGCAGGATGACTCTGCTCCTTCTCCTGTTGTTTCTGTCAGCAGGAATGGTGACATGAGATCCATCTCCCCCTGCCTGAGGCCCCAGCACCATCCCCTCAGCAACCAGCCCCTAACACATGATCACCTTATCAGTGATGTTCACAAAGGATCCCCTTATCAGTGACCCACCCCAACAAAGGATCTCTGATCAGAGACCCCCACAATGCACTATCCCCTTAGCAGTGACCCCCCCAACACACCATCCCCTTATCAGTGACCCCCCCCAGAAAAGGATCCCCTTATCAGTGACCCCCCCCAACACACCATCCCCTTATCAGTGAGCCCCCCACATGATCCTCTTATCAGTGAACCCCCCAAAAATTCTCTTAGCAGTGACCTCCCAACAAAGGATCCTCTTATAAGTGACCCCCACAAAGGATCTCCTTATCAGTGACCCCTAACAAAGGGTTATCAGTGACCCACTCCAACAAAGGATCCCCTTATCAGTGACACCTCCACAAAGGATCCCCTTATCAGTCCCTTATCAGCGACCCCCGCCTCACAACACAGGATCCCCTTATCAGTGACCCCCCCTACAAAGGAACCCCTTATCAGTGACCCCCCCACAACAAAGGATCCCCTTATCAGTCCCTTATCAGTGACCCACCCCAACAAAGGATCCCCTTATTAGTGACCCCCCCCCCCCACAAAGGATCCCCTTATCAGTGACGCCCCCAATACACCATCCCCTATCAGTGACCCCCCGAACACAGATAATCCCCTTATCAGTGCCCCCCCAATGTGATCCCCTTGTCCCCCTTGCTGCCAGTGCAGGATCCCAAGCACTGCAGTGACACCAAACTCATTCCAGGATAAAAACCCACCACACTCCCAGCCAGCTGATTTCATCCACCTTTACTGTGGTCCAGCTGCCACAGGAGGGGTCAGGCAGGGTCCCCCCCACAGCTGTGGGGTTTGGGGCTCTGCTGTCATTGCTCTGTGGCAGGGCAGGGTTGGGGGCACATCCTTGCAGCCTCTGCTCTGGGGGTGCTGCACAGGCATGGGGAGAGGGATTCCCACACACCCGAGCTCCAAAACTCCTGATTCCATCCCAGCAACTGATTTGGAAATTGTCTGAATTGGTACCAACATCACTGGCAGCATAATTTGGTTTCACAGTACAAAAATCGATTTCCCTGCTAGGATGCAATGGCTCCTGCTCTTCCCCTGGTGCTCCATGGCCACAGGTGCCAGGAGCATCTGTGGCCATGGGAATCTTTGGGAATCTTCTGATACACTTTGGGAATCTCCTGATATGCATTGGGGATCTTCTGATACACATTGGGGATCTTCTAATACACATTGGGGATCTCCTGATACACTTTGGGAATCTTCTGGCACACATTGGGGATCTTCTGATACACATTGGGGATCTTCTGATACACATTGGGAATTTTCTGATACTCATTGGGGATCTTCTGATACACATTGGGAATTTCCTGATACACATTGGGGATCTTCTGATACACATTGGGGATCTTCTGATACACATTGGGAATCTTCTTTTTTTCCCCCGCCAACTGGAAAATTCTGGTCATGAGACTCTGATCAGGACATTTTCTATCAATGTGCTTCTGTGCTGAGAGCAGATGCAGCAGGGATTTGCTGATATTTTCCAATCCCTGGGATACAGGATATCCAGCAAAAATCAGTGGGAAGGGATCTGATGGCCTTCATGGGAGGACCATGAGGGATTTATTGTCAGGACCTGCACTGGATGGGTTTGGTGTTGCTGGGGAGTGAGGCTGGTGCTTCAGGGGGTGCTGGTAGCTCTGGTTTTACATCTGCAAATGAAAAGCAAGGAGAAAAGAGAGGGATTTGGGATTAGCCAAGGGGAAAGGTTCTGGAAGGGACAGTAAGGTCCTCTGAAAACCTCAGCTATCCTGATTGCAATTAAACACCCAGCAATTAAGTGCAGAAAGGAGCTGAACAGCTTTGCTCAAAGGAGGAGTTTGATTCCTCTCCCTGATACATGCAAGTGATGTATCATTGATCTTCTCTGATCTTCCTGGAACCTCTGCAAATTCCTGGCTCCCACTGCAGGATGGCAGCTGCTCCTTCCTTCTGCTTCTCCTTCACACACCCTTAATCAAGGCAGCAGGGAAGGGACACATCCCCTTTCCCTTCCCTGATCAGGAGCCAGCCGGTACTTTAGGGGCAGGTGAAATTCTGGACATGGTATAGGACCCCCTGTGCACACAATTCCCCTTCCTCCCCTCCCACACAGCTCATGGGGCAGTGGGAAGGGAATAGCTCAGCCCTGAGCCTTCCCTGGAGTCTCCAGGGACAGCTCCAAGCTCCTGGCAGAGGCAGGAGGTGACCCTGGGGCAGCTGCCTGGGAATGTTTGCTCAGGAGTGACTCAGCCAAACCAGTGCAACCAGTACGGGTGGGGCACACCCCTGCCGTGCTGAGAGCCCTCTGCCTGCTGCTCAGAGCTGAGTTCACTTTCACAGCAACTCTGGCACCTGAGCAGTGCAGTCAGGTGATGCTGGAGAGCTTCCCATGCCTTGGCTGGGGCAGGGAGAGGAGCCAGGATGGTCCTTGCTGTATCCACCATGTGAAACTGGGGCTGTGCTTTATCTGCAGAGCCATTGTGATTCAGATATGGGCTTTAAATAGGCTAGGGAGGGGAGCCAGGGTGGTCCTTGCTGTACCCACCATGTGAAACTGGGGCTGTGCTTTATCTGCAGAGCCGTTGTGGTTCAGATGTTTGCTTTAAATGGGCCAGGGAAGGAAGACTGGATGGTCCTTGCTGTATCCACCATGTCAAACTGGGGCTGTGCTTTATCTGCAAAGCCACTGTGATTCAGATGTTTGCTTTAAATGGGCCAGAGAGGGAAGACTCGATGGTCCTTGCTGTACCCACTGTGCCAAACTGGGGCTGTGCTTTATCTGCAGAGCCATTGTGGTTCAGATGGGCTTTAAAAGGGCCAGGGAGAGGAGCCAGGGTGGTCCTTGCTGTATCCACCATGTGAAACTGGGGCAGTGCTTTACCTGCAAAGCCATTGTGGTTCAGATGTTTGCTTTAAATGGCTCAGGGAGGGGAGCAAGGATGTTTCTTGCTGTACCCACCTGTCAAACTGGGGCTGTGCTTTATCTGCAAAGCCACTGTGGTTTGGATGTGGCTTTAAATGGGCCAGGGAGGGAAGACTGGGAGCAAGGACAGGGGTCTCTTGTTGCCAGCTTGGTGTATGGTGCTGAGTTTGGCAGGTTCTGGGTTACAAACAGTGTCCCAGGGACACAGAGCTCTGTGGGAGCAGGTGACATCCTCTTGTCCCCCTAATCCCACCCCACAGCCCGTCTGTCCCCTTTTCCAAAGGCTGCTGTTTGCTCCTCTGCCAGGGGCTGCAATGACATTTAACAACACAACCAGCCAGGAGAAACAAAGCAGGGGAGAACAGAAACTTTTTCAGCTTGGTCCTGGGAGCACAGATGGGCAATGTGGAGGTGCCCTCACCCCTGGCTGAGCCCAGGTGAGCCCTGCCCACCTGTCCCAGCAGGTTTGGGATGAGGTGTGTGGGTGTCCCTGTCCCCAAAGAGCCTGCACCTACACTAGTGCTGGCTTTGGGACATGTGGATGTCCCCATGAGTCCCCCTTAGCCTGATGCTGGTGCTTTGGGACATGTGGATGTCCCTGTCCCTATGAGCTCACACTTACTCTAGCAGTGGCTTTGGGACATGTGGATGTCCCTGTCCCCAAAGAGCCCACACTTACCCCGGTGCTGGCTGTGGGACATGTCCCTGTCCCCAAAGAGCCCACACTTACCCCGGTGCTGCCTTTGGGACACATGGATGTCCCTGTCCCCAGAGAGCCCACACTTACCCGGTGCTGCCTTTGGGACATGTCCCTGTCCCCAAAGAGCCCACACTTACCCCGGTGCTGCCTTTGGGACATGTCCCTGTCCCCAAAGAGCCCACACTCACCCCGGTGCTGCCTTTGGGACATGTCCCTGTCCCCAAAGAGCCCACACTCACCCCGGTGCTGCCTTTGGGACATGTCCCTGTCCCCAGGAGCCCACACTTACCCCGGTGCTGCCTTTGGGACATGTCCCTGTCCCCAAAGAGCCCACACTTACCCCGGTGCTGCCTTTGGGACATGTCCCTGTCCCCAAAGAGCCCACACTTACCCCAGTGCTGCCTTTGGGACATGTCCCTGTCCCCAGAGAGCCCACACTCACCCCGGTGCTGCCTTTGGGACATGTCCCTGTCCCCAGAGAGCCCACACTCACCCCGGTGCTGCCTTTGGGGCGCTGCCTGGGCCGGGCAGGGCGGTGGCTCCCGGGGCTCCCGGCTGCACAGGCTCCTCATCTTCCCGGCCACATAGCGGCAGGCTGGGGGGACAGGGGACACCTTTGTGGCACTGGGAATCAGCATCCCCCCCAAAGCAGCCTCCCCAGCCAGCCCAGGACCCCAGCGCAGGGAGGGAGGGAGGAACTGGATTTCCGGGGATAAAGAGGGCCTGGATTTCCCGGGATAAACGGGACTTATTTCTGTGCCTGCTGTCCTGGCTGTGTTCCAAACCCCTCCAGCACCAGCCCAGGCTGTGAAATATGCGGAGTATTTCCCCTGTCAGCTCTCTCCCCAAAGCAGAGGTTTCCTTACCGTTGATTATTACTCAAACCATTTCCCCGGGGCTCAGCAGATCTGTCCTTTGCAGCTGTGCCTCTCTCTGCCCTCGCAGGCTGCTCTGCAGCGTTGACTCAACAGCTCGGCCTCCTCCTTCCCCCCTCCCTCCCTGCCTGCCTGCCTGGCTCCGTGCCCCGCGGATGCTGCTCCCGGAACGCCCGGGCAGGGAGGGCTCAGCCTGGCACTGCCCCGCCATCCCTCCCCGGTGTCAGGAAAATTAACCCTCAAACACCAGAGGGTTATGTGCAAAAAGGAGACAGAGGAGTCCTTTGACTTTATTCCAATCAAGGGAGAGGCCATGGGGCATTCCCCTGGGGTCTCTCCAATTTTTGGAGGATGCAGCCTCCTTTTTATCCCAATTTCCCAGCCACATTTCCCTTCTCTCTTTCCCCATTTCTGAGGTGCTTGAGAGGTACAGACTTCCCAACACACCTGATACCAGAGATTTCCCTCTAATGTATAACCCTCCTTTTAATTTTTAATTCTTATGGAATTTAGGGGTTTTTCTTCCCCATTGTTTCTTTCATCTCTCAATGTCTAATTTCATTTACCAGCAAACCTAAAGTTTATTTGTAAAAGCAAATATCTTTTTCCATTCATCAATCAGTGGAATCCTCCCCATTGTTTCTTCTATCTCCTAGTGCTGGTTTTATCTACCAGCAGCCCCACAGCTTGTTTGGAAAGACAAATCCACCATTCCTCTTACTGGGAATTCACAGAATTCACAAAATCATTGGGGTGGAAGAGACCTCTAAGACCATCGAGTCCAACCCAGCCCCAACCCCTCATCTAAACCATGGCACCCAGTGCCACATCCAGTTGTTAAAATAGGTTAGAAACTGTTGTAAAATAGTTGTTAGATGGTTAAGTTCAGGGGTTGCTGGTAGCTCTGGTTTTACATCTGCAAATGACAAGCACGGAGAAAAGAGAGGGATTTGGGATTAACCAAGGGGAAAGGTTCTGGAAGGGACAATACTGTTACTGTCCCTGTACTGCTAGTTTGGTTATTGTGCTGTGAAAGGGGTTAAAGGGTAGTTATAAGAAATCTGGTACTCAAGGTACCATAGCACAGCTCAGTAAAGTGCACCACGAGCCAGCCTGGACAGAACTGTAATGGCCAATCAAGCACCTTCAGCCTTCATGCAAATGAAGGATCCAAACAGAAACCAATCCAGAGGGATAGAAAACAGGATAAAAAGGGGCTCCTGACCCACTGAATCTGTGCTGCTCCACCAGGGCCATCGCTGCTGAGAGCCCCAGCCCTGGCGCTGCTCCATCCTCGATGGGAACGCTCCTGCTCAGCCCAGGCCCCCTTGCTTTGGGCCTTTCTTTTTCTTATAATAAACACTGGAATCACTTTAGTACTGGGACTCTGGTCCCGTTTTTAACACAGTCTTGTTTTAAACAGATCCAGGGATAGTGACTCCACCACCTCCCTGGGCAGCCATTCCAGAACTTTATCACCCTTTCTGTGAAAAACTTTTTCCTAATATCCAACCTGTATTTCCCTTGGTGCAGCTGGAGTCTGTGTCCTCTGGTTCTGTCAGTGCTGCCTGGAAAAAGAGACCACATCCTGCCCCTCCCAGGAAGGAGAAAGCACTCAGAGCTGGCTCAGAGCAGCTGCTCCAGGGTTTGGGTGAGGGAAAATGAAAGGTGACCTGGCCATGCCTGGAGGGGTTGCTGGTGCTGCTTTGTGGTTGTTGGAGGAGCTGGGTTTGGGGTATGGGAGGTGAACCTTGTGCTGTGATCCCAAACTGAGCTGGAGATGGTCCCTGCAGTGGGCACTGAGCTTGTGTGGGGCAGGGGTGAGGAAAGGAACCTTCCCTCTCCTCTGCTGCTGCTCTCAGCACTGCAGGGACAGCTTTAGGATTGCAGGATGGTTTGGCTTGGAAGGGATGTTAAAGACCATCCAGTTTCAGCCCCTCTTCCACTGTCCTTCTGTCCCCATGTCAGACCTTCAAACCCCTGATACCCATTGTATGAGGGGTATCATACAATGGGTATCAGGTGACAATCCCAACAGACAAAATGTAGGCAGAGGATTGTCCTTGGTTTTTCCAGGATCTTTACCCCATTTCACCTCCAGAGCAATGATTTAGTCCTGACTAAAGCCAGCTACTGAAGAAATGCAGCTTTTGTGCATCCTTGCTGCTGTTTGTGCTTCTCTCTGCCTGTTAATCCCAGCCAGATGAATTCTGAAAGCTCCTGCCCTCTGGCCAGGGCAAAGTGCTTCCCTTCCTATCTCTGCACCAAGAACACACTGATCTGGGCTGGTTGGACTTTGGTTTCCTCAGCCTTGCACTTGGTGGTTTGTGTCAGGGTGCTCAAGCCCATAGTTTCTGTGGCACAGCACCCAGAGCTCCAGGATTTTGGAAAAAGCAGAGCACTTCTCCCAGTGCTGGTGTGAAACCACAATTTTACTGACAAAGAGACTCCTCAGCCTCTTGATTCTACTCCAGATGTGCAAGCATCCCTAAAAAATGAGTTGTCACATGAATCCATGTGCTGCAAACAGCCTGTCATCCCCCCAATTCCTCCTGCTCCTGTGTGAGGCTGATTGGAGATGGGGCTGGAGTGCAGGAATGGAATATTCCCAGTCAGGGAGACCCCAGAGCCTCCCTGGGCTCTGCTCAGGGCTGGGCACTGCCCAGGGCAGCAGTTCTGCCTCCTGTGCAGGGGAATTGCTGAGCTCAGGCCCTGCCCGTGGCTCTGGGGCCATTGCTGGGCCTGGAGCAGAGCCTGGGCCTGCTCTGACGTCTGCACACAGCGACAGACACAGGGACAGACACAGGGACAGCCAGGGATGGACAGGGATGGACAGGGATACATAGGGATGGACAGGGAGATGTGGGGACAGACTGGGACACACAGGGACACACAGGGACAGATAGGGGGACACAGGGACAGACAGGGATGAACAGGGACAGCCAGGGCTGAGGGCCCCTCTCAGCTGGGGCTCCTCTCCAGGCTGAGCAGCCCCAGCTCCCTCAGCCTTTCCTGGGCACAGAGATGCTCCAGGCCCTTCCTCCTCTCTGCAGCCTCTGCTGGTCCCGTTCCAGGAGCTCCCTGACCCTGCTGAGGAGCCCAAGTGGACACAGCACTCCAGATGTGGCCTCTGCTGAAACCTGCAAGATCTGTATGTGATGCAAGATCTGTAGATGTTCAAAATATCAAGGAAAAAACCCCAAACCCTGAGCAAGACCCTCCAGACCACCCCTGTGACCATGTTCACAGGGGTCTGAGGATGAGGGAAGAGACCAGGATCTGACTCCATGTTTCAGAAGGCTGATTTATTATTTTATTATATATATTATATTAAAACTATACTAAAAGAATAGAAGAAAGGATTTCATCAGAAGGCTGGCTAAGAATAAAAAAAGAAAGAATTATAACAAAGGCTTGTGGCTGGGACAGAGAGTCCGAGCCAGCTGGGCTGTGATTGGCCATTAATTAGAAACAACCACATGAGCCCAATCCCAGATGCACCTGTTGCATTCCACAGCAGCAGATAACCATTGGTTCCATTTTGTTCCTGAGGCCTCTCAGCTTCTCAGGAGGAAAAATCCCAAGGAAAGGATTTTCCATAAAAGATGTCTGTGACACACCCCCGTGAACCTCCCAACCTCCAGTCCCTGTGGAGGACCCATTGTTCCAGTTCCAGATGAGCTCAGCAGGACAGGGGGGATGGCTGAACCTTGTGAAGGTGCCTGGAGGGCTGCACTGCTGCTCTGAGCTTTGGCTTCCCCAGGCTCCACACCCCGTGTGTGGGTGTTCTCCTCTCGGGTGTGCAGACACGTCCCTCTAGATGGTGCTAAGATAAAGAGAAAAGGTGGGTGGTGAGAGGCCTGGGAGCCCAGGCTGCCCCTCTGGGCACTGCTGAGCTCTCCTGGCTGAGGGCATCATCTCCCTCTCCATTCTCCAGTGCTCCTGCAGCTGCTCCTTGTGTCTATTGGCAGCAAACACATCCCAGATTCTTCTTCCACTTCTGATTTCCTTTTCTGGTGTGTGAGACTCCACAAATCCATCGTGACTTTAATCAGTGCATCTGCTCCTATCCATGCACGAGACCAGACAAGTGGGTTTTTAATGGCAAAAATCCATCTTGGCTGTTTTTCCTTCTTCAAAGCAGTTTTTACTGAGCAGCACAACTCATCAGCCGAGTCCTCTTCTATCTCATGCATCATTAACCAGAATCTTCACCAAATTCAAGCATAGATAATCTATGATTTATTGATGTGGGCAATCAAGAGAGAAGCCAGCCTAGCTGCTAGTGAACAGCAAGGATTGTTGAGGATTAGTGTGAAGGGAAGTATTTTAGATCCATGGCTGAGCAGATTTCACTGTAGAGTCCCACATGGGCAGTAAATGAGCTGTTGAAAGAGAGCTGCTGTTGGAAGAGACTGTAAAAAGGAATAGCCCTGTTCAGGTCTGCTTCTTTTATTTTATTTATTTATTTATTTATTTTTGTACCTTTAATATTTAATTTTAATATTATTTATTTAATATTTAATGTTTATTTTTATAGTTTAATGTGATATTTATATATTTAATATGATATTTATATATTTATATAATTTTTAGAATTTATGTTATTTTTATAATTTATATTATTTTATAATTTATATTATTTTTATATTTATTTTATTTGCTTCTTTTATTTATCCATCATTTTTTTATTAAATATAAAATGTGGAGAACGACTCTGTGAAGCTCTGAAGCAGGAGAACTGAGCTCCTCTCGCCGTGCCTGTGCAGAGGGAGGTGATTTCCTGCACCCTGATGGCCCCAGGGCACAGCCTGCAGGGGTGGAAATGGCTGTGGCACCTGGGCAGGGCTGGAATTGAGGAGCCTCCAGCTGCCCTCCAGTTGTGTGAGCACAGCCCAGCCTCCAGCTGAGTTTTGGTGTCACTCCTGTTGCTGTCCCTCAGCCCTGGCAGCTGCCCTGCTGTCTCCCCTTCCCTTACCCACAGACAGAGGCTGTGACATGTTTTAATCACTCCCCCATCTAGATGGGTTGGCCTGAGCTTTGTATGTGGTTTTTAGTGGAGAAAGATTCCTCTGGCCAAGTTTTCTTTCCAAGAATGGCTCAGGTCCAT